TATATATATATATATATATATATATATATATATATATATATATATATGTGTGTGTGTGTGTGTGTGTGTGTGTGTGTGTGTATAAATCCATATTCACTTCATTCATGATTATTTAGTTAATAAAAACTATTAAGCCTTATAAATCTTTATAAATATGCAGAAAGAAAAAAACAGCTTTGAAAATAAATGTACCCAATTCATTCGAGGGACTGTAATCCTTACGTTCAGGAAAAACAAAGGAAGTTGTAGGTAGAACTCAGCTGATAAACTTTGCATACAAATAATTGTTTGAATTCCAAGTTTTCTTTTCTCTCCAAGGTCAGTCTTTTCCTCCATTCACTTTTTTCCCCTGTGGGTGCAATTCTATGCATGTTTTAGGTTTTTTTTTTCTCCAATAGGAAGAAGCTCATCAGGGAGATGAGCTTATTCCCCATTGAGTTACCACGTGTTGACCTTCACATCTAACTACAAAGACATTTTTAGCCTTGAAGCACCCTAAAATTTGCTTCACATGCTGTTAATAAGTCCCATCTGTTACTACAGACATTCATAGCAAACAATGTCATGTATGAAAGAGGAAAAAAACACATGATCACTATGACCTTATGACCTTTGGCCAATCATAGATCTAGAGGAAGAGTTCACAAGACATAGGCCCCTTCTTGTATTACAATAGTCACTACAGACATATGTGATAGACAAGTGGGAAATAATATTGATGACTAAACAGAATAACTAGGCTTTTTCTGGCAACCAGATAACTTACCTAATCCTACCAAAGATGGAATCCACATCATATACGGCAAAACATTAATCTCATCCAGTTATCTATTCTTTGAGCAAAATAGTACATTGAAGTTTTCCGTTTCTATGATCAACGCCAACTAAGTAGTTTCTATGATCAAGGCCAACCATAATACAGTATTTTTGGACTTATTCGTGTTATTACATTTTTTACAAGGGCATCCTTTGGTCTTGTTTCCATAAATAATTAATTTTTATAGTTACATTTGTTTGAAAGGTAACAATACTTTTTCACTGACCTCTTCTCTGCCTGGGCAAAATTTTGATTTAAATGGAATGCCCTTAAATCTCTTTTCTAAAACTGCTGCTGGGAACACTTTGAACAGTACCATAGCTAGAGGCATTTTGAGTCTGAAGAGAGTGATTTGATTCATTCCTATTAATTTAAACAAACCAGTTTATGCATAATTTTTTTCTCAAGTTCAATCCATTCTCAAATTTAATCTATTCTGATTAAATCTGAGGTCTGTACCTTTAAGGGTATGGAGGAACTTTTTATACAGGTTTGTTTAGTTCAGAAATAGCAAAACATTGTTAGAATCTCAGTTAAAAATTTCAGACTTAGTAAATTGCAAATGTGAGCTTACACTGCTAAATGAAACTAAAGTTTAACCTCCCAATTTGCTCCTAATTTTGTTACAGCCCCCGAGGACATATTTGCCAAGAGACAATTGAGGTTACTGAACTTAGCAAGACTTAAAACAATATTGTGAGAAACAATATGAAGTAGCCATTATTAATTTGTTTCAAGAGTTTCATTTGGTGTGTGTTTGTGTGTCAGACTTGTCACTCAAATTCTTATTAGCTTCAAGGTCAAATGATTTGACATTAATCATTTTGTGCAGAACTGCTTTTCCTTTGAACAGTGCAGGCATTTCACATTTGTGTTTCCTTTAAGCTACTTTTAAAAGCATGAAGAAATTAAAAGGTCATTTGTAATTTGTAGTCACTAAACTATTCATTTGTAAAAACAAAAACAAATTATACATTTCTTCCTTCTTTGTAGATTCAATACTGCAAAAATTCTACAACCAATGAGTTAAGAACTTGAAGAAAATTAACATTCTGTAAATTACTAACATTTTTGTTATAACCTTAAATGAAATAAGTAAAGCTTGTGGTGTTTTATTCCTTATTTTTATTATTTTTGCTTGGATTTTGAAAGTATTTTGAACCCTGCAATTTGTCTGAATAAACCCATGTACACTAATCAGAAAATTAAATTGAACGGAGGATTGAGGATCATAATCTAAATAAAATCATCTATTTGATTCCAATTGATTTCAACACTTAATTTAAATACACAATGAAGACAATAATTTGTCTGTATCTACTCAAATGAAAGCATTACTGATATTAATGTGGTCTACTTCCAGATGAGCAAATCACTGCAGCCTGCATACCTTTCATTTCCACCCTAGGATCTTCCAGATGTTTCAGACATCTCGTCACTATCTACCAGCCAACACAACCACTCTATGCTATAAAACAAGGTTGGGGATCCTAACTATGTCTCTTTGCATCACTTATATTTGCTAAGCAAGCTGCGATTGCTGGAAGCCTTAATTCAGCAATCTTTGGAGGGTCACAATTTCCTTAGCAGTACTTCATGCTATCAATACATCCCAGCATGGCAACTAGCTTTATGTAACAGTGCTTCACATAGCACAAACCAGCAAAAAATGAAAGTGTTTTTAAAGATAACTTAATTTGAGGGTGCCTTTCAATAAAAATTATTTTAAATTTGATGCCACGAGTGGCTTTTAAAAGGATGACTTTCTGAAATGTTATGATTTCATGGATGTGGAACATGGTGGCATTAGCTCTCATTTCATACTTTTGGAAGAGAATAAAGGCTGCAGTGCTAAATGGGTGGATCTTTCATACCTAAGAACACAGCAAAAAAAAACAACAACTGGATTTATTCACTTATTTAAAATATTTGTAGCCTTGTATTCTGATGCTGATTACTTACATCATAGTTGATGGGTTTTCTAACCACTTCAGAAGCTGCATTGCCTCAGATCAGAGGTGTCAAACTCACATTGTCACAGCAGCATCACATGATGTATCAGGACTTTTCCCCCTTCGCTAAACTGGCCAAGGATGGGGCCAGCACATGATGCATCCAGCCCATGGGCCAGGAGTTTGACACCCCTGGCTCAGATCATCCACATCATTATTTCTTCTTTGTCTGCTGTCTGGCATATATTGTCACTTTTGTCATTATAGAAATGATGTCCCCAAAAGGCCACTCCAAGGTCCTGATATAATTAGGAAAATTCTTAAACCTAGCAGCTTAAATGAAGAAAATAGATAAGGTCATTTCAGTTCTGCCCTCAGCCTAAATAATGGTCAATATAATCTTAACATTTAGGCTCAAGAGTTGTTTGCTAGTATGGTTCTCATATAAGTCCCATTTTAAAAAAGTTTCAAATTGTTAAACAACTGGGTTTCTCCAAACTAGGGTGACAAAAGAGGGTCTTTTCATAGAAGAGAGTAAAAGTACAATACTTAATGAGCTTTCCTTATATTTTAACCATTCTGTTTCTTCTTGCTGATTTTTTAAAATATATCACAAAACTGGATTAGATTACCATTAGAAAGGACTCCACAGCCAAAAGATGTAGTGCCAAAGTTAAAGTGGGATACAATAGTACTTCTCTGGTCTTCCTCATTTTTCAGCAGAGGTTGATTCTAAAAGTTTAATTCTTAAAATAGAGACTTTTTCTGCAACAAATTCCTAGAGAAATAAAATAATTCAGAAGTTGAACTCTGTGAATGTGACAACTTGGGATTTATAGAGGATCCCAGAGGTGCTTTTTCAAGAGGAAACTGGCCATTCTGGTTTTTCTTTGAAGACTTTTTGCTGCTCATCCAAGAAGCTTCTTCAGCTCAGATTAGATGGTGGGGAATGGAAGGATTTATACTCCTTGTAGACAGCTGGTCATTTGCATTCTTTTAGAAAGATTTTAAGGCCACCTGGAGGTTTATCTGTGTCATGGTGCAAATGGGTGTGGAACCTTTGGAACTGTTGAAAGGACTGTGTTTTAGACTGGAGATAGATGATGTCATATCCCTCGTCCTCTGTTGAGAGAGGGCTGTTAAATTTTGACATAGATGGCCTCTTTGACCCCTCTTTCAAACCAGCAGTCCTCGCTGTCAAAAATATGGACTTTGCTGTCTTCAAAAGCGTGGTCTTTGTCTTTTAAATGCAGACGGACTGCTGCATCTAATCCTGATGGGTTTCTTCTCCTATATTTTGCTATGTGTTTATGAAGTGGTTGTTTTTTCCCCCCAAGGTACAGATCTGCACATGGCTCACTGCATTGTACTGCATATACCATGTTGCTCAGTTTGTGTCTGGGTGTTTTATTTTTGGGGTGAACAAACCTGAATCTTATATAACTGTTTTGAAGCACTGTTATTAGTCCTTTGCCAACTTGCAATACTAATTTGTACTTCAAAAGAAGTAGCCAAACTAAATACAAATTTAACATTGAACTGAACTGCTTGGTGTGCATGCTAAAGCAATTTATTTAAACACAATGCCAACATCTTAAAACCTCAAAAGACACATTTACACAAATATCAAGCTGCAAATTCATCTCAAGTATATAATATGGAGTCTGGTTTGCATTTTAGCTTTACTTTTGCCAAAAGGATAAAACAATCTGCTTTTTGTATGCAGGTTGTATAGCCATAAAAGGCAACGATTTTAATGAAAATAAATTGGAAACTATTTTATGATACACCAAGAAATATTTCTCTTCCTTCAAGATTTGTGATGTAATTTCTGCTATACTTCCCCCTTTCATTGCATTTCTACAGTATATTTTGCTGTCAGATATTTTTTTCATCATCGTTTTTGTATTATAGATAACCTATCATGTCACATGTGTTTTAAAAAAATGAAACTCTTTTTAAAACTCCTTCAATCATTCAAAATGCCAGTTCAGAGTCCATTTGATACAATAGATTTTCTTTGTATCTTATTTTTTTCTAATGAAGTACAGGGTTTTAAACTAACATCTAGTTTAGTAGAATAATTGAGATCTGAACAATTACTGTATGTTTACTTTAAACTTTCAAGGTTCAAATAGGACTTCCTTTTTTTTTCTTTGAAAGGCAGAAAATGGAAGGCATAACTTGCTGTCAAAATTCCCTTCAACTTCTATTCTGGCTGACTGACTGAGTCATGAACATCATCTACTGAATAATTAGCCCAGGCTTTATCCCCAGTTGTATATTAGACTAGGATTGAAAGGGGGAAAATGTTGAAAGGCAGTAATGGCAAACTCCTTCCATAGTGGTGCCAAGGAACTACATTGAAATGTTTTGCTATTTTATGATTAATAACCCATTCCTTTTTTCCTTCATTCATTCATGTAAAAAATATCAAGCTTGAATCAGAAAAGAAATTTCTTTTTTCATTCCATAAAACAGTGGGTAAATGGACCAACCTATACTTTCAGTACATGAAATACTTGCATATTCAAAATATAACTTTTGAAAGGGCCTTATGAAAGTCATAAGATGCAATTTAATATTCTATGCAACTAGGTAAAGTTTCTTTCTTTTACCTTCAGATTTTCCAGTTGGAGGAATCTAGAGCAATTCAGCAAAGAATACAATGTATAGATGGCAAAAAAAAAAAAAAATGTGAGCAGAAAGTAGAAAGGGATCTATTGGCAAAAACAGCTCTGGTACTCAACATTCTGTGTCAGTGTCTATTGTCCTGGTTAATTGATTTCAGATTCTATTAGAAAAAATATCGGATCCTATTTGTCTCAGATCTGGTTACAATACCAAAATCTAATTGGGAAGATCTACACTGAAATATTCACTCATATGACAATATGAGTTATTTTTATGCTAGTCACTGCTTCCTGCCAACTTTATTTCATACTGTTTTACAGCAGAACTGAAATATATGAATGCAATAAATATTATCAATCTGGCTGGAAATATATAACTGTCAACGGTATATAATATATATGTAAATTCAAAGTAGAGGGTAGATAAGGTTTGTTACTTTACATATACTAAATAAAAATGTATAACCTTTAAACTAAGCTTAATTGAATATCATAAGATAAAGAGCGGTAACAAACGGTTTTTTTTGACATGTTAATTTTTTTTTTCATGATGCTAGATTGATAAGGTGAATACTTAAGAAAGAGAATATGGATCCAGCCAAGAATCTTTAAAAAAAAACTAGTGAAAATAATAATAGTAAAGGAAATATTTTAATACATTAGCACCCAATATAGGAGTTAGAAATGTGTTGGTTTTGTTCCACTTTTGACATGTTCGTGATCTTTCTTTCTTTCTTTCTTTCTTTCTTTCTTTCTTTCTTTCTTTCTTTCTTTCTTTCTTTCTTTCTTTCTTTCTTTCTTTCTTTCTTT